CCCATGTCAGTATTATGAACACAAGTGTGTTTGTACGTATGTGTGGGGAGTCTGAGAGCCAGTTTGGTGTCATGGTTAAGTGCGCGGACTCTAATCTGGGAGAACCGGGTTTGATTCCCCACTCCTCCACTTGCAGCTGCTGGATGGCCTTGGGCAAACCATAGCTCTGTCAGAGCTGTTCTCTCAAGGGCAGTCGTCGAAAGAGCTCTCTCAGCCCCACCTGCCTCGCAGGGTGTCTGTTGTGGGGAGGGGAAGGGAAAGGAGGTTGTAAGCCGCTCTGAGACTCCAGTCTCCTCTTCTTCATCATCATCATCTCCGGCCTTCATACACAGCCAACCAGCAGCCGCGATCCGGAAACGCTCGTGTTCGCGGAGGGCCGCTATCTTTTCAAAACCTTCCCATCTGCCATCAAGCAGGGCTTCTCCATCTGCAGCCCGGTAGACAGAGGGCGACGCCGTTAACCCTTCCCCAGCAGGAACGAGTCATGCCGGGGCCTTTGCTCTACAACAGCTGGGCACAGAGAGAGGCCTGATCCTAGACAGCACCCTGGCACCCTTGCGGCTCCCCACGCTCCGCCGCTGCCCTGGAACAAAAGGACCCTTCATTCCAACGAGATACGACGGGAAGAGAAAGGGCCTTGGGATTCATTTGTAGCAAACGGAGTCCCTTCTCGGGGCCAAGGAGGACTGGCACCGGCTCATGCTGGCGGAGTGCTGGCACAGAGAGCATATATAAGATGATGCATGGGATAGAGCAGGCAGAGAAAGAAGCCCTTTTCTCCCTTTCTCACAAGACAAGGACTCGTGGGCACTCCATGAAATTGCTGAGCGGTCGGGTTAGAACGGAGAAAAGGAGGCCCTTCTTCACACAAAGGGTGATTGACGCATGGAACTCACTGCCACAGGAGGTGGTGGCGGCTCCAAGCATGGGCGGCTCCAAGAGGGGATTAGATAAGCATCTGGAGCAGAGGTCCATCAGGGGCTATTAGCCACAAGGTATAGATAGGGGCTCTCAGTCTGGGGCAGGTGATGCTCTGTATTCTTGGTCCTTGGGGGGGCAACAGTGGGAGGCGTCCTAGAGTCCCCACTGCTGGACCTCCTGAGGGCACCTGGTATTTCTGGCCACTGTGTGACACAGAGTGTTGGACTGGATGGGCTACTGGCCGGATCCAACATTGGCTTCTCTGTTATGTTATTATGGGGCAAGGGATGCTCTGTTTTCTTGGTGCTTGGGAGCCACAGTGGGAGGGCTTCAAATGTCCTGGCCCCACTGGTGGACCTCCTGATGGCACCTGGTATTTTTGGCCACTGTGACACAGAGTGTTTGACTGGAGGGGCCATTGGCCGGATCCAACATTGGCTTCCCTTATGTTCTTATGGTGCTGGGGGGGGGCAAGAGTGGGAGGGCTTCTGGAGTCTTGACCCCACTGCTGGACCTCCTGATGGCACCTGGTATTTCTGGCCACTGTGTGACACAGAGCGCAAGAGTGTGAGGGCTTCTGGAGTTCTGGCCCCACTGCTGGGCCTCCTGAGGGCACCAGGTATTTCTGGCCACTGTGTGACACAGAGCGTTGGACTGGATGGGCCGTTGGCTTGATCCAACATGGGCTTCTCTTATGTTTTTATGTTAAGAGCTGAGGTCCCTCGGGGCTATTAGCCACAAGGTATAGAGAGGAGCTCTCGGTCTGGGGCAAGGGATGCTCTGTCTTCTTGGTACCTGGGGGGGGGCGGCAACAGTGGGAGGGCTTCTAGTGTCCTGGCCCCACTGCTGGACCTCCTGATGGCACCCAGTATTTTTGGCCACTGTGTGACACAGAGTGTTGGACTAGATGGGCCATTGGCCAGATCCAACATTGGCTTCTCTCTTATGTTCTTATCTTGCCTCTCTCTCGCTACCAAGGCGGCTGCGTTAGGGAAGCCACTGTATGTCTGCAAAGGGGGGCCATTTGCTACAAGAATCATAGAATCACAGAATGTTAGAGTTGGAAGGGACCTTGCAGGTCATCTAGTCCAACCCCCCTGCACTCTGCAGGAGCAGAGCCGAAAGATAGCCCTACAACGTACCCGAAAGACGGTCGTCCAGCCTCCCATCGAAAACATCCAGCGAAGGAGCATCCACCACCTCCCGAGGCAGACTGTTCCACTGCTCAACCACTCTGACAGTTAGGACGTTTTCCCTGATATTTAGCCAGAGAGAATTCACAGCACAAATGCCACCCCAATCTAGTTATCCTCTGCTGCACTGATGGCCATTAAGACCGACTGGCCGAGCCGACACGAGGTCACGGAATATCCACAAACACTGCATCCGTTCGAGGAAAGGTGCAGTGACGAAACCTCCAAGGCCTCCCTCGTGGGAGAGAAGGGAATGCAACCCAGAGCCGGAATTAATTTCTTACGGCGACCTCAGGGAAACCGTCGCGACAGACTGAACTCAACCCCAGACTTCCCGCTCACATGTCACTCAGGATGTGACCTGAATTCCACAAGCCTTTGGAGCACAGGGCTTCTCTGGATGTGCTCTGAATTCAGCAGGGCCAGTTTCGCGGAGACGGGCGGGGGCCCGGGAGCTCTACGCGGAACACAGATGTAAGGTGCAACTCGGAAATCCAGGCGCACTCTTTTGAGAGAAAAGCCGTAACAAAGAGCGCCTTTGTCACCTCCTGGACAAACGAATGGATTGTGGCAGACGCCCCCGACAGGTTTCTGTACCCCAGATAATCGGGGCGGGCAGCTCGCTCTGGCCCACACGCCTGGGGGAGCACGCAGGCACACACTCGCTGGCGTTCACGCACCAATGCACAGGCCGACTCTGTCTCGACAGGGCCCTAACGTAGCTGTTGAGAAACCCTCCCGCGGTCGGCCTCACACGTCACAGGCGTGGGATTCGGAGAAAGGAGAAGCCACATGGGGAGGGGAGAGGAGAGGAGAGAGAAACCCTTAAGACTGTAATCATGTTCAAACAGCTGCGCCTTACTCACCCCCACAAGCCCCAATCACATGGGAAGCACAACCCAAATTCAAACTCTCTTTTTGCACAGGAGAGGGACAGAAACTTCCCTCGCCGGATTCCCCACCTCCAGTTTTTAAAAGCATCATCTTTTCGCAGGAAAACACATTCAGAGCGGCCACTTTTTTGGTGAGCCGGCAGGTTCAACTTCTGCAAATCCGGCCTCTCCAAAGTCCCCCTCCCCTCCGCCCATTTATGAAACCAAGACAGCCAGTGTTCCCTCTAAGCTGAGTTTGTGTGAGCTAGCTCACAGAGGTTTTTTTAGCCTCCAGCTCACAGATTTTTGTCTCAGCTCAGGAAGGACGGCTCAAGAGCAAACTAGTTTATGCAGTAGCCGAATCACCGGCTCACAACTTTAATGCCAGTAGCTCACCAAGTAGAGGTTTTGCTCCCAAGACTCCACAGCTTAGAGGGAGCATTGGCCAGAAGCATTTCAGCTGCTTGAAACATTTAACGACTGGGAGAAACGTTTTTCAACGGATCGGACTTCACATTATTTCCTTCCTCCAGTCGTGGGAGAAGAAGTTTTTATAAAGATTTGTAAAAATTAGGAGGGGGGGGGATTTATAAAAATTAGGAAGGGGGGGTTCCCTTCCTTCAGCATTCCAGAGCATGGCACAAAAGCCTGGGGCGATTTAAAGAGAAGAATTACTTGTAGGTAAGCAAGGACGATTTCTTTAAAAAGAAAAGTAACTAGGCCTCAAATAAGGTATATCACACTCCGGGCTTCGCCACGACCTGCCCCCCACACCACAAAGAAAGGAAATTGACTATGTTTCTTGTACTGTTAATAATTTTTTTTCAATAGACATTGTAAAAAAAAATTAAAACGACAGGAAATTGGGGGGACCGAGTAGAGACTCAGGGCTTCAATCTAAGCTTTGCAAAAATTTACAAGGGTTTTTTTTTAGTGGGGGGTGGTGGAGAAAATCTAATTTTAAAGATTCTCTCCACACCCCCCCCCCACTAGTTTAATTTTAAACTAGCTCCTTCTGCCGTGCAAAAGACAGAGACCTGGCCTTTTATTTACCTCCCCCATGCCAACCTCTGCCTGCTACCCCACTGGGGAGGGGGTCCAAAGCCCCCCCCCAAAAAAAACCCTGGTTCTGTTGCTGGGTTGTGTTAAACCAGCCACGAGATTCCAAACTTTTCAGAGACCGTAAGCAAAATTCGCCGGCTCGCCGGGCGCAAAAACTAATAAAATCACATTTTTTTTCATGCATGTGCCCTCCTCTTCCTCTACTCCCGCGGAGACCCTCGGCCGGCTTAGGGGAAAGGGGCCGAAGCGGCACGTTGCAGTGGGGCTGCGGGCGCGAGAGGCGAGGGACAAGGCCGGCGGCTGACCCCCAGACTTTGCAAGCGAAGAAAAGCGAAAGAGCGAGTGGGGAAATGTCGAATTTGAGCAGTTAGGATTTATCCTGTTTGAGACCTCGGGGGGGGGGGTGGAGGTAGAGAGAGAGAGAGGCAGAAACTTCCCGCCCTCCCCTCTTTCCTTGCAGTTGGAGCTTTTGAATTTTCTCTCCCCCCCCCCCCGGTTTCCAAAACCCCCCCTTGCCCAAAAAGGGCTCTTTGCAAAAGCCGTTTCGCCAACCGGCTGAAAAGGAAATCCCTCCGGAGGGGGGGGGGGAGCGGGTCACTTTTCACCGGCTCCCAAACCTCAGCGGAGCCCCAAACCGACCGACCCCCCCGGGCCCGAGCCGCGTAAAAAGACCCGTTCGCCCCAACTCCCCGTTTCCTGCCAAGCGGGTCTGGCGAGGAACGGTCCCCTTTTTACGCACGGGATTTGCTCGCCGCTGTTGGGAAAGGAGGGCGTTAAAAAAGGCAACTCGGTGGAAAAAGTTGGGGGCGGCGAAGTGTGGGTCCGGAAGGGTGTTGGGGGGCCCTCCTGGACTCGCCCCCTCCCTCCAAAGCGCACCTTCAGCCGGACCCCGCGGTGCGAAGCCGAGCGCACAGGGTCGCTTGGCGGGGGTCCCCAAAGCGCGCCTCCTTACCCGTCTCCTCCTCCGGGCTGGTCAGTTTCCTTCGGGCGCCTCCCGGGACGGGCTGCCTTGGCCGGCGTGGAAATTTCCCTGCTCTGGGAACTTCCAGCCCCGGCACGAGGTGTGGTTCTCTGCGGGCCAGAAGGAGGAAATGCTCGCCAGACTTTCGACGCGACGCCGAGCGAGGCCCGCGCCGCAGCAGCAGCTCCCACCTCGGACGCCGCTGGTATTGCGCCCGGGCGCCCGCCGGTTGGAGACGGCGGGGGGCGACGCGGGACCTGAGCTGGGGGGGGGACACGGCGGCCCGCCCGCCCGCTTCCCTCTGCACTTGACAGCCGCTGGAAAGGAGCGACGAACCTAACCTGACCTACCTCGCAGGGCTGTTGTGGGGATGAAGAAGAAGAGGAAGAGAAGAAGAGATTGGATTTATACCCCGCCCTTCACTACCCAAAGGAGTCTCAGAGCGGCTTACAAACTCCTTTCCCTTCCCCTCCCCACAACAGACACACCCTGCGAGGTAGAAGAAGAAGAAGAGATTGGATTTATACCCCGCCCTTCACTACCCAAAGGTGTCTCAGAGCGGCTTACAACCTCCTTTCCCTTCCCCTCCCCACAACAGACACCCTGTGAGGTAGGCGGGGCTGAGAGAGCTCTTTCAAGGACTGCCCATTCAAGGACAGCTCTTATCAGAACTATGACTTGCCCAAGGTCATCTAGCCAGGTGCAAGTGGAGGAGTGGGGAATCAAACCCGGTTCTCCCAGATTAGAGTCCGCGCACTTCACCACTACACCAAACTGGCTCAAACTGGAGGAATGGGAGAAAGATGTAAATGGGAGAAAGATGTAAATCATAGAATCATAGAGTGGGAAGGGACCTCCAGGGTCATCTAGTCCAACCCCCTGCACAGTGCAGGGAATTCACAAATACCTCCCCCACGCACACTCCAGTGACCCCTGCTCCATGGCCGGAAGATGACCAAAAAAAACAAACAACCCTCCAGGATTTCCAGCCAAACTGACGTGGAGAAAAACTGCTTCCGGACCCCAAAGTGGCGATCGGAATTTCGCAGGCTGTAAGAAAGGGTCATGAGAACTAAGCACTGATGCAGCCGAATTAAATAAGACCCTATTTTTATTGATTTAATTAAAATAAATGTCATTTGCATGAGTCCCTGACTTCATTTATTTAGAAGAAGAAATTGGATTTATACCCCGCCCTTCACTGGGAGTCTCAGAAAGGCTCACAAACTCCTTTCCCTTCCCCTCCCCACAACAGACACCCTGGGAGGGAGGTGCGGCTGAGAGAGATTTGAGGGAACTGCTCTTGAGAGAACAGCTCTAAGAGAACTTGTGATTGACCCAAGGTCACACCAGCAGCTGCATGTGGAGGAGTGGGGAAACAAACCCGGCTCTCCCAGATTAGTGTCCAAACCCCTAACCACTACACCAAATGAATTTATCTAATTCATTTTTTACCTTTCTCCCCAAAGCAGCTTACCATCATTCTCTCCTCCGTTATCTTCTCACAACACCCCTGTGAGGTAGGTTTGGCAGAGAGTGTTTGGCCCAAGATCACCCAGTGAGCTTCCATGGCACAAATCTGGATCTTCCAGTTTGTGCAGTGGTTAGGAGCATGGACTCTAATCTCGGAGAACCAGGTTAGATTCCCCACTCCTTCTCCACATGCAGCCAGCTGGGTGAACTTGGGTCAGACACAAGCTCTCTCAGAGCTGTTCTTTCGAGGGCAGTCCTTGAAAGAGCTCTCTCAGCCCCACCCACCTCCCAGGGTGTCTGTTGTGTGGAGAGGAAGGGAAGGAGATTGTAAGCCACTCTGAGACCCCAAGTGAATGTTGGGGTATCAATCCAACTTTTCTTCTTTTTCTCCTCCTCCCTCTTCCAGCTTGGTGTAGCCAGTTTGGTGTAGTGGTTAAGAGCGCGGACTCTAATCTGGGAGAGCCAGTTTTGATTCCCCACTCCTCCACATGCAGCTGCTGGTGTGACCTTGGGTCAGTCACAAGTTCTCTCGGAGTTGTTCTCTCAGGAGCAGTTTCTGTCAGCGCTTTCTCAGCCCCACCTGCCTCACAGGGTGTCTATTGTGGGGAGGGGAAGGGGAAAGGAGATTGTAAGCCGCTCTGAGACTCTCAGTGAAGGGCGGGGGATAAATCCAACTCTTCTCTTAGAATGACACACTGAACACTATCCCACGCTGGTTGCCCACTCTTGGTTGGGGAAATTCCATTTTATTCTCACAACAATCCTGTGAGGTAGGTTGGTTTGAGAGGGTGGTATGACTTGCCTGAGGTGACCCAGCAAGCTTCCATGGCACATGTGAGGAATTGAAACCAGGTCTTCCAGATCTTAGTCTTAACAGGATAGAACGCAATAGAGTCCATCCTCCAAAGCGGCCATTTTCTCCAGGAGGGTCGAACACTAGTCACTCATCCTCCAGGTGGGCCCTGGAGTTCTGAGAGCCAGTTTGGTGTAGTGGTTCGGTGTAGTGGTGAAGTGCGCGGACTCTAATCTGGGAGAACCGGGTTTGATTCCCCACTCCACCACTTGCACCTGCTGGATGACCTCGGGCAAGCCGTAGTTCTGATAAGAGCTGTCCTTGAAAAAGAGCCGTTTCTGTCAAGAGCTCTCTCAGCCCCACCCACCTCACAGGGTGTCTGTTGTGGGGAGGGGGAGGGAAAGGAGTTTGTGAGCCGCTCTGAGACTCCTTTGGGTAGTGAAGGGCGGGGTATAGATCCCATCTCTTCTTCTTCTTCTTCTTCTCCCAGAATGACTGATCTCCACACTCCAGAGATCCACATGTCAGGAGAAAATGGCTGCTTCAGAGATGCAACTCAAGGGCACCACAACTCTGCTGTGTGTTGCATTCCCTGCAGGAATTCAGAACCTGACCAAAATCTCAGTCAAGGACTCTGTAGTCTGTCCTTGAATCAGACCATTTGAACAGAAGAGAAGCCATGTTGGATCAGGCCGGTGGCCCATCCAGTCCAACACTCTGTGTCACAGTGGCCAAAAATACCAGTGCCATCAGGAGGTCCACCAGCGGGGCCAGAACTCTAGACGCCCTCCCACTGTTGCCCCCCCCAAGCACCAAGAAGACAGAGCATCACTGCCCTAGACATAACATAAGAACATAAGAGAAGCCATGTTGGATCAGGCCAATGGCCCATCCAGTCCAACACTATGGGTCACACAGTGGCCTAAACCCAGGGGCCATCAGGAGGTCCACCAGTGGGGCCAGAACTCCAGAAGCCCTCCCACCCTTGCCCCCCAAACACCAAGAATGCAGAGCATCACTGTCCCAGGCATAAGAACGTAAGAGGAGGCATGTTGGATCAGGCCAGTGGCCCCTCCAGTCCAACACTCTGTGTCACACAGTGGCCAAAATCCAAGTGTCATTAAGAGGTCCACCAGTGGGGCCACCAATGGCCCATCTAACTCCAGTATCTTCTAGTGCTTTGCAATTTTAGGCAGAGAAAGTCCTCCCTCAAGTACCTAGCATCTGACTTCTGTTAGAGTCTAGGAACAATATTGACTGAACCGGAGACCCTCTGCTCGTGTCTCGTGAGGTACTTGTCAACTGAGCCAAACTCCTGGTCCACCCAACTCTTGTCTTCTGATTGGCCGGGCAGATTTTTAAAAATGTTGTTTCGGTAGCACCGGCCACCGTAACACAAGGCTCTTCATGGCATGACTGACCGTAAACCATGGGCGCCATTTTGTGTTTGGCTCGGTCTCCCATGTCAGCCATTTTGTGTCTGCGTCCATCAGGCCACGCCAGATTTCCAAAGGTGCCCATGGGCTCAATTAAGTCCGGGACCCCTGTGCTAGTCAGTTATCCCTCCTGCTATTCCATTCAGACCCCCAAAAGCGTGCAGCTTAATGGGGAAGTCTATATACAGAGTGGCTTTTCTTGGGTGAGGGAACATGGGGTGTTAAACATGCGGCCCCAGGGCCGGATGAGGCCCCCGGAGGGCTTCTATCAGGCCCGCAGTGGAACGGGCTGTCTTCTTCTTCTTCTTCCAGTTCTGCTGCTGCTGCGTCATCATAGGTTTGCAGCTCACAGATACACACCTGAACAGCCAGGGCTATTTTTGGGCAGGAACGCACAGGAACGGAGTTCCGGCTGGCTCCCAAGTTGGCCACGCCCAGTAGGAACTCATTAGCATAATAGGCCACACCCAACAGCAGGAACTCATTAGGATTGGCTACATAAGGTGTGTGTGGCCTAACATGCAAAGGAGTTCCTGCTACAAAAGAAGGCCCTGGGTTTTGACCACAAACAAGGTAAACAGAATAAGAAGGGAAAGGTGGGTGTGGCTGGATGACCACACTTCTGGCAACATGGGGGTGTGGCCTAATGTGCTAATGAGCTGAGCTGTCAGGGTTGTGGCCTAATATGCTAATGAGTTTTGCTTTTGGGTGTGGCCTATTATGCTAATTCGTTCCTGCTGGGCTTTTTCTACAAAAAGAGCCCTGTGCCATACTCAAGATTGCAACAGCACAGACACTTTGATGCAATAATTCAGCGCAAGAGGGGTCAGTTAGCAGACACTGTTCAATAAACAAAATATTGCAAGAGTGCTCATGTTTTAAGCCTGTTTTTAAATTTTAAGTAAAACGAAACCCTTTGTGTTTGTGCCCTTTATAAAGTTTATATCTCCGCTACCTGGCATCAGGTTTTGTGACACACACGGCCCGGTCCAACAAGGTCTCATTCAGGTCAGATCCAGCCCTCATAACACATGAGTTTGACACCCCTGCTCTAAGCTGTGGAGTCCTGTGCGCAAAAATTCTCCTTGGTGAGCTGCCGGCATTAAAGTTGTGAGCGAGCGACTTGGCTGCTGCAGAGATCAGTTTGCTCCGGAGCCCTCCGTCCTGAGCGGAGACAAAAATGTGTGAGCCGGAGGCTCAAAAACTGTTGAGCTAGCTCACACGAACCTGGCTTAGAGGGAACCAGTTTCTGTTCGACATACATGGAGTTTAGGCCACAAGTTTGCCCAGAGCACGGCTGACAGGGTTGCCATCTGTGAGTTGGGGAATACCTGGAGATTAGGGGGTGGGGCCTGGGGAGGGCGGGGTTTGGAGAGGGGAGGGACTTCATTGGGGTATAATAATACCACAG